TCGCTCATGCGGTAAATACATCCACGCGGAGGTACGGCCCCGTCTTCGAGGATGATCTTGTGACGAATTGGCCGATTTGGTACGATTCCGGCGGGGGCTTCAAAGACGTCGCCATAGGGGTCAAGAAGCTGTACAATGCGTGGATCCGGTGGCTGTTCCGCCGCTGGCTCGTCGGAAGGAGGGAGTGCGTGCAAGAAACAAATGCCCATTTCCTCCACGTCGTTCCGTGCGATGGAGTTGCGAATGCTTGCTGCGGAGATCACGTGACAACCAATCGAAGGATGAGGTGGAGGGACCGTACATGGCACAAGTACCCCGTTCCGGTCACGAACGTGAACGGTGCGGTGGTCACCAGGTGGTCCTCGCTGCGCAGCCATGACATGCCCAAGATCATGTCGAACTTTGTGTCCAATATGTCAAAGGACACGGCCTCGCGTGCAAGCGGGGCGAAGTACATGGGGACAAAGTCAATGCACCGGTCAATGGACTTGTGCGTACGGCCGTCGACCAACATGACTTGTGTGGGCTGCGATTTCCTTCGAATGCACGGCCCAAGGCCGGCGCGGCTCATGAAATCCTGGCTGATGTAGTTGCGAGTAGCTCCACAATCAATCAAGGCGCTGCAGGTCGCCTTCCCGATCTGAATGCGGACGTAGAGTAACGGTGCGTCGGTGTTGTCGTACCGTTGCGTGGCGTACTTGCGATCAATCTTCGCAATGTACTCGCAAAGGTCAACAACTGCTACTGGTACTGCAGCGTGCAAGTAGTTGCGTAGCTCTGCCATTAGGGCGTTGCAATGCGGCTTCGACAAGGAACCAGATGGGGGAAGAGGCAACCATTGGAAGTCCTCTGGTGTCAATGGGTCGAGTTCCTCAAGTCTAGACCACACCGACGAGTCCCCGACTGATGTTGGCGAGGATGCTGGTTCACTTGGCGATGGTGATGAAGTCGCACACGCAAATGAATCTTGCACGTGGAGAGGTTGGTCCGGGACCAGCTGGACATCATAGTCTTCATAATCTTCGCGAAGACTGGCGACATACGCATGTTCCCCGGACGTGGAGGAGGTTGTTAGCAAGGCAACCGTGTCCGGCGGAGTAGGAAGTGGAGTCGCCTCACTTCCCGCGAAGCTTAGTTTCCAGAGCTTTGTCGTGGACGAACGTCTTCTTTGCCTTTATCAGGGCATTGCAACGTCGTATGCTTGGTGCTGTTGCACCAGTAGCAACAGCTCCACCTCTGGCGGAGTTTGTATTGCTCCTCCGTGAGGTTGAACTTCTTCCATGGCTCATTCGGCTGTCCGGCTTCCTTGTTGACGCAGATTTCGCCGCCTTCTTGTTGTGGTTGTTGTTGCATCGTGGCGGAAGGGCGTTGACTCTGTCTCCTTCACTAGACTCGTGAGTCATCGCCTGGTCGTTCTCTTGTCCATTTCCTTGGACAGCAGCGACTTGCTGCTGCCGCGGGCCTTTGCTCTTTTCCACAAAAGTAGGTTGGCTTCGCCACTTGTTGGCTGCCCACCGATTGGTTTGGACGACTTCACACGCCTTCTCCACGATCTGGTCGAAGTCCGTGTACAAGCTGCACTCCCCAAGGGCCGTGCTCAACGCGTCCACTGACCACTGGAAGAATTTGCGACGAAGATGTACGAATGGGATGTCCAAATTCGGAGTCGTCACGATTTTCTGCCACTCGGTTAGCCATTCGCGTGTGGGCTGGCTGCCTTGATGCATGCTGAAGATCCGGTTCACGCCTTTGCCTCGAGTGTCGTCGACGATGAAGCGTTTCCGCCACTTCCCAGTCATGGCCTCCCAAGTGATCTTGGTGTGAAGCTTAGAGACTTCGACGCCCTCGGTTTGAGCCAGGTGGTTGAGCCACACTTGGCTGGCACCTGTGCTGCAGAGGTAAAGCGCTGAGATCTTCGACTCGGGTGGGACCAAGTGGATGGAGAGCTCATTGGTGAACCCTTGCCAGCAACTGGTGGGGTCCGCCTTGTGGTAGTCATCGAATTTGTCGATGCTGAACTTCGGCATCTTGAATTCTTTTGGCGTCACGTTGTTGCAGGTCCCAGTTGGTTGCTGCTGCAGTTGACACAGATCCGCTTGTAGGGCGGCTATTTGCTGCCTGATGGTCGTCGGGTGTCGGAAACTGTTTAAGTTGCCGACAAGCGTGACTAGGTGATCCAGCTGTCCTTCCAGCTCGCGGGTCAATGGATCAATGCTTGACGATGCCGTGTGCCTGTGCAGCACGTCATCCTTCTCCAGCATGTCAAGGCGGGCATGGAGGCTCTTGAGAGTCTCCTCATAGTCAGTAATGGTACGTGCCTGCCGAGCCAGCTCCACTTGTTGCCAGTTACAAGTGAGGATGACTTGGTGCATCATGCTGGCGAGAGCTGACTTAGTCTGGTCCTCTGTAGTTGGTTCTGTCGTTTCCGCCGGATCAACATGCCGTGCTTGGAGTGCGGTGGTATGAGCGACTTCCTGCTGCATGAGGCTCTTCGAGCTTTGTTGTGGTTGGCAGCTGTGTCAGCTTGCTGCCGGCGTCGTTGCTTTTCTCCGCGTGCAATGGCATTAAGGCGTGCTGCTTCGGCTGCCGCCTCGCGTTGCTGCTCCTCTTGGACTTGCTGCATATAGGTGCCCAGGCGGGCCAGGAAGGCCGTCATGGTCTCTCCTTGCTGTCGGACTGGTGCAGCGTCGAGGGTTCCCACAGAAATCATAGTGGAACCCTCCTGCTGGGCCTGTGGGGCCGGGGGGGTTCGAACTGCACCTGTCTCTTATACACATCTAGATGTGTATAAGAGACAGTCGCTCATGCGGTAAATACATCCACGCGGAGGTACGGCCCCGTCTTCGAGGATGATCTTGTGACGAATTGGCCGATTTGGTACGATTCCGGCGGG